CCCACCGAGAGCAGCAAAGTTAAACCCCTCTGGGTCAAGTTACCCGTAGGACCTCGTATCCAATGTGATTAGAGCGTTGGCTGAGCTGAAACCTTCCTCTTGCTGTCATGGAAATATCGAGTTTTTCACAAGTGAATAAAATAAACTACCCAAATTTGATAATATCCGTTATAATATTCTATTTGACCATAACACGCTACGTATTGCGCGAGAGAGAGTGTGTGTCTGTACTGACAAAACGGAGATCGATATTGATGGCTATTGCTAGCTTCTTACCCATCATCAGCCAGTCTTACCAACCCTAGGTTTAGGACACCGGAGATTAGAACCTACCTTCTTTTGGGCTAACTGTTCTAACCATCGAGCCATGGGTTTGGTGTCGTGTCGGTCGATGTAGAGTATTTGATCTATGGTAGAAGAGCGCTCGCCGTTCGCGTTACGGAATCTACTTACGTCGTTTTACTTTAAAGCCTCGTAGGCAATCGCACACCGGCTAGTAATGTATGTAGAGGGAAACTAATGATAGAGACAATAGAGGCTTGATGGAAATCACCCAACGTCAGGTTGAGGGGACACTTGATATTAACCCATCTAACAAAGTTAATGTGTCCAATTGTAACCTACAAGACCATGAGACCGTGGCTCAACGTGATTAAAGCACTGAACCAGTAATCAAAATAGTGAGACTTCGAGCCTTAGGTGCCACAACCTCAGTGTTTGGTGTGGCTAGTTAATGGCAGCTAATAAGTCACAACTAGACATTCCTATCTGTCGCGTCTCAGTCGATAGTCTCTGTCTGCCCACAGAATTCATGTCGAACCGCAAAGCAAAAAGCTTACTCCGAATGAAAAATAAGTCCATGGAAACCTTGGCAAGAATCCATTCAGACTTATCATTTTTTTTGTCAGTCGAAACGAGTCAATGGCATTGGCGCCATGGTCGCCCTGACTCCTGCTTGTACGGCATACATTGCATATTTGCTGTGTACTTACACTTTTACAGTAGTACGTTTTAGTCGATTTAATAAGCAGGCGTAAAAGCATGGCTTACCGTCACTGTGAGTTCAAGGTCTCCGCTGCCAGCTTCCCGTGTGTCCACTTGGAAGGTTGTCTGATTGCCAGCTGGCAGACCCTCCGGTCTGGATGGTTTGACACCCTCGCCTGAGACGCGCACACGATTCGGTTCGCAGACCGGAAGCACATTCTGCATGAAGGGTGACCGCGGAACGTGTACCTGACCCTGCTTAACCTCGATCTGGCAGGGACCCTCCTGGTCGGGCACGTAGGTCACGTCATAGACACCCGGTTGACCCGGCTTGGGAACCACCTGGGCTGGTACTCTACGGCCGGAGCGATCGGTGTGAGTGACCTTGGTAAAGCACACACGTAAAAATGTGATTTTAAGAGAATGAAAGGAAATAAGGGTATATTGAGTTACTGACGCTATAGCGTGCCGCATGCTTTTCTTGGCCTCTACGTTGTAAACCAAGTCAATTCTCTTAGTGATAGCAACTGGTCGCGGTCGAGAAACCAAAAAAGTTATCGAAGGAGACTAAATTTCGATATCAACCAGGTGTGTGGGTCAGTTTAGCACAGCATTTCGCTGCTCGCTTTTGCGAGTCTGTCACTCAGCCCAAAAAACTATTTGCGTTAAATCTCCGAACCAAAGTTTGAGAAGTCTCCATACGTCTAAGAGCCACCAAAATGTCTACTAGAAAGAAATTGGAGATAGCCGATACCTGTGTTCACAAATGGTGCCCTCGGGTTTACTTTATGTGACCAACTATTCGTATAGGTTCATCTCCGTTGTTGTTTTTATGATATAACGTTGAAATACACTATAAACTC